AAAAAATGTAATGGCAAGCCCTCAGTCCGCCTTATGTCCCTATCAGTAAAAGGTATGCTTAGTGATCTAAAAAAAATAGGTAAGAACTTCTTACATTTATGAAATGGATGCTTAAAAAGTTAAAAGTTCAAATGCCAAGATAAACAGACTCAATGAAATTTTAGACTAGATTATAAAAAGCAAAAGTGTATTAGTTTCTGTCTCCATAAATCCCAGCCAGTAACTTCTTACTAGTTTGTTTGAGTATTTTCTCTGAGGAACTTCCTCAAGAGGAATACATTTTGTTTATCAGATTATTCCAGAAGAACAGCAGCCTATACTTTAGTAGAAGTCTGAGCAATAAGCATATTATAATTTCTGAAATAAAACATAAATCAATTATAATACTTATTTTTCTCATTCAACTCAATATTAAAAAGTTCCAGTGAAAAGAAGTGAATATGGAGGAATAGCACAAAATTAAAGATGGTTAAAATTTAAGATGCCACCAATTGTAAAACTCACCCATATTATGTGCCAGAAAGAAAGGGGAGGAAATGCCCAAGAAATATTAGAGCCTCATAAAGCTAAGATATTAAAAGGTTATACCCACAATATGAGGAAAAAGAAGAAATGAATATGCAACACAGAGGGAGCACATAAGGAAATTTGTACATCTTTGACTTGACACTGTGTCCAGGAAGCGGGGAAAAACCCAGAGAATTTGAACAACTAAGTCATGTAGGTTTGTGGTCTGAATTTATTCAAGTACGATGGCAAGTACTGCCCTTAGGTGACTGAAATAAATGAAATCCTCTCTGGAACTCAAATTAATTCTAGATGGGCTACTTGGGGCTAGATGCAGCCCAATTTCAGAGATGTGAAAATGTGTATCTTAAAAGTGATAAAATACTAAGAATATTGACAATACTATCTTTGCACCAAAGATTTCAAAGCATACTTTTGTAAGGCAGTTCTCTTTGAGGAAGAGACATTAAAATTCCCTTCACCTTCCTTCTCAAATCAAGAAACTGCAGTAATGAGAGCAGGATGGTAGGGATTAAAAGACAGAACTAACAGAAGAATACACAAGCTAAGGGACAATATCAGTACTTTGGAAAATAAACTTACTATTTCAAAACCTCAATCTAATTAAACACAGGTTCCAAACCCTTTTATCCTATTTCCTCTAAATGCTTTTTCACTTTTTCTCCCTAACTTTTTAAAGTAAAGACCAATGTATAGACAATAATTTATAAAATGCAACAAAATATTAAGGCTGAATTCTGTGGACAAAAATTAGATAAGAAAATATGATTATTCATGTTATTGTTAGGCCAACTTAACAAGTATAAAGACTGTGCCTATAATGAAACAGAAAGGTCAAAATTGAGCACTGAAAATAAAAACAAACAATAAAACTTATTTTGGCCTCTTATCTAAAAGACAGCAGCTCAAGTAATAAAAAGGCATTCTAACAACTCTAGAGGAATAAGGTTAAATCATGACACTGAAAGGAGAGTGCATTTTCTTCCTGCACTACACATCCTAGAACACATATATATCCTCAAATATATTTCCTTTAATATGAATAAACAACCTTTTTACTTATAAAATTTTAAATAAGCAAACTGAGGAGCTTCTCAGATGTTATTCCACCACCAACTTTACTGAGGTATAATTTACTTAAAATAAAATTCACCAATTTAAATGTAAAGTTTGGTGAGTTCTGGCAAAATACTAAGAATTATCCAGTTATGTAACAATTACCATAATCAACCCAAAGTATTCCTTCATGTCCTTTTGCAACACCCTCCCTAACTCCTGGCCCCAAACTACCACTGATCTATGCTTTCTATCACTACAATTTCACATAAATGGAACCAGACATCACGTAGTTTGCGTCTGGCCCCTTTTTCTTAGCATATTTCTGGGATTCGTTCATGTTGTTGTATGTATCACAGTTCTTTTATCCCTAAGTAGTATTCCACTGCATAGAGATAATGTTTATCCATTCAGTCTAATGGATATTTTAGATTATTCAAGTTTTTTACTATTATGCTGCTATGAACAGTCATACAAATCTGTGTGGACATACACTTTCATTTCTCTTGAGTAAATACCTAAAAGTGGAATTACCAGGTCATTTGGTAAGTGTATGTTTAACTTTAAAAGACATTGTCAAAACTGTTTTCTATTTTGCATTCTCACCAGTAATGTAAGAGTTCCAGTTTCTCCACATTGCCAGTGTTTTATATGTTAGTCATTCTAGTGGGTCAGCAGTGGTATCTCACTATGGTTTTAATTTGTATATCCTAATGACTAATGATGTAGAGCATCTTTTCAAGTGCTTACTGCCATATCTTTGTGTGTGTCAACTACATATACAAACCTTTTGCCCATTTTTAAACTTGGCTGTTTGTCTTATTATTGTGTTTTAAGAATTCTTCAAATATTTTAGATTTAAGTCCTTTATCAGATACATATGCACTGAAATTATTTCCTCCCAGTCTGTGGTTTGCTTTTTCATTTTCTTTTTTTTTTGAAGTACAGTTGATATACTGGTTACATGTATACTACACAGTGGTTCAACAGTCACACACATTATTAAATTCTCACGCCAACTAGTGTAGTTACTATCCGTCAACATACAAATACGTTACAGAATCATTGGCTATATTCTCGATGCTGCCCTACCATCCCGTGACCAACTTATAGACGATTGAGATTTTGTGCCTCTTTATCCCTCCTACCCATCATCCATCCAACTCCTCCCTCACGGCAACTACCAGTCACTTCTCAGTGTCTGAGTCTACTGCTGTTTTGTTCATTTTTGCTTTGTTTTTAGATTCCACAAGTAAGTGAAATCATATGGTATTTGTCTTTCTCTGCTTGGCTTATTTCACGTAACATAATAACTTCTAGGTTAGTCCATGTTGTTTCAACTTGCCTTTTCATTTTCCTAATGATGTCTTTCAAGAAAGCAGAGTTTTGGATTTTTTAAAATTTTGATGAAACCCAGTTTATCAATTCTGCCTTTCACATTTTTATGTATCTAAGAAATTCTCACCTAATTCAAGTTAACAAAATTTTCACTTACACTTTTAATTTTCATATTCAGGTCTGTGATCCACTTTGTGTTAATTTTTATATACAGTCTGAGGTAAATGTTGAAGTTCATTTTATTCTATATGAATGTTAAGTTGTTCCAGTCCATCTGCTAAATAGACTAACTTTTTGCCATGAATTATCTTGGCCTTGTTGGTGAAAACTGAATGACTGTATGCATGTGGGTTTATGGACTCTGTTAGGTTTCATAATCTACCTATGTCTGTCCTTACACTACTGCCACACTGTCTCGATTATCATAGGTTATGTAAAGCTCAAGAACACCCTTTGGTGATTTCATTCTAGTAACAATCCTTTCCTATTACTATTAGGGATATATTTCATAGATTTCAAATGACAGACTGTACTGTCAAAATATCACACATATAAAAACTGTGAATATAAAATTCTTTTCATCCTAAGGTATAAAATTTATTCATTTATTTCTAAAGGCATCAAAAGAGAATAAAAGTTAACTGCTTTCATCTGTATCACTCATGCATTTCAAATATGCTAGCTCATTACCCATTCAGACAGTATAGGAATTGCCCTAGAGCAACAGAAATAACCCTAATAGAAATAAACCTAATGTCTCAGCCCTTACACTATCCTCTGGTTTATGTAGATCTCTTTCTAACTAACCAATTTGACATATGCTTTCCCACAGGGGGAAAACCAGTCCTAATACATTCCCAAGAATTTTGACTGCATCTAGAAACAACTTAAATCTATTAAACCAGCTTTATAAACAACCACGTGTACAAAACTGACAAATCTACCAGCATCTGTGATAATCTTTTATCATAAGAATTGTCTAACAACTGCAAATTGTTGGCCAGTGCTGGAAGGAAAGAAAACACACAAAAAGGCAGGCCTTTCATAAATTTCACATTTAAAGAAACCTCAAAATTCTAGTGATGTCATGAGAGGTCTAAAAATAATATGGAATTATTTATGCCCATGGTTGTTCTCTTTTGCCATTAGTGAGATTTAAAAATATCAGTAAACTAGACCAATTTTATTTTGCTCATAACCAAAATGTGATGTAATTATTTAAAATAAACTATAAACTCAGGGCTCTGAAGCTAACTCAAAATTTCTAACAGAAGAACTAGAAAAAGAATTAGGAGCTTCCAGAAAAAAAATCAGAAGTAAAAGTTTTACTGTATTTTTAAAGATTTTTTTGAGAGATCTATGTCTTATTAAATCAACTTCTGAAATTAAGGTCTAGTTATGCTTGAAGGCTAGAAATGAGATAGCTAACAGACTGCAGTCATTAATTTACATATCACCTGTTACAGTGGTCACAAAAAGAACATCATTAACAATTCAGACTGAAGCATTAGAGAAAATAATACAAAAATGATTTAAAAATCTAACACATAACTATTTTATATTTGCAAAGTAAAGGGGAATATAGAATTCTACTTGGAATTATTTTTTGCCTATACTTCATAGAAAGAAACAAAATCACAGGCTGCTTTTCACTCAGTCTTTCACACCATTTTGTAAACATACAAGTTATTTTAAAATGCCTTTGAATTTCTAAAATTCACTCGTTTCTATGTAAAATTCTTTGGTAAGAAGATACCACTGTTTGCTTCCAATCTTCATAAACACTTTCTACCAAAAGAACAAAATGAGTTTACCACAGGGTAAACAAGGTGCTTATATTTCACTTTTCCTATTAAGATTATATCCATACTCAGTGCTGTCTTTAAAAACAGCAACTTTAACTTTCTGGTATATTACATGTGAAACACTAACAATGTAAACTTTAGGCTGAATTTCCTTCAATCTCTCCCTCTAACTCCACCACTCAGACTAGTAGCAATGCTTTTTAATCTTCCAATTAACTCAGACTAGAACATCTCTTTGATGAGAAAAATGATGAAAAATAATAATAAACTCACCCTTCCTTAGGCATTCTCAAAGATCTACTTCCTCTGGATGAGAATACAGGATCAACAAACAAGCTTCACTGATCTCTTGAGAACTGTAGCTCGTTTGTTAAAGCACAGAGAACTCAGGCCCTGGGAGGCCCAACAAATTCGGGCAAAATGCTGAACCCTAGCCAGGCAATATCTCAATGCCCAATATCCTTGGCTTTAAATACTTGAAAACGTGAGAAAAACAGAAAAGCAAAATGCAGAGCAGGAAAAATAACTATGGTCTGAACTGTCTGAGAATGACTTGTTTAGGAAAGAGAATCCAAATGGCAATTTCCTAGAATCGTTACTGGCAAACACACAGAAAAAGCAAATTTACCCCCTCGTGAGGCCAGCCAACAGTACACAAACAAAGTGAGTTTCACAGACTGAAACAGCTCTAGTCAGTCCAAATCATTTTCAGTTCACTCTAGAAGGAGAAAAAAAATCAAGTGGATAAAAAAATTCTATGTTTTAATTATCAGTTTAGTTATTTCTGCCCTTTGAAAATGAACAATGTAAGAGAAGGAAGTACTTATGTGCTGGTTATATTACATGAGGAACCTAAAAGTATTTCCACACTAAGGTTTTTTTTTTTTCTGATCACTAACTGCTTTTAAGGAAAACATCTGTGTTCACAAATGTTACTCAATTGTCCAAAAACTTCAGCTTGTGAAAAGAAATTTACACATCTTTGGCATATGGGGAATAAATTCAGAACATGCTAAAGCTTCATTCCAAGTGTTAGAGCAAGCTGAAATTTGAAAGAAAAACATCTGCAACATTCCTGCCTCTTGACCAATATAATGCATAGGCATTATGTAACAGGGGAAGAAATAAACAAGTGTGCTAAAGTCTTAAGAGCACTGAGATGGAAAGTAAATCCTCCTAGTGGTGATTCAAATTAAAAATAAAATACACATTAAAGAACTGCTACTTGAATTAAGAGTTTAATTGCAAAAACAACTTTATTTTTAAATATTATCTAAATATCTTACCATAAAGGTTTCTATTAGTTGTTAAAATGTTTAAATAGTCATCCAAGTAACTAAAGGTACTATTTAACACTAAAAACTCAACTAAAATTATTTTCAGTTGACTTAGAACAGCAGAATGGTATGATTAAAGAGAATAACCACTAGAGCAAATAGGTTTAAATCACAGCTTCTCCACTTTCTGGCTCTGAAACTCTGAGTAAGTTACTTAACCTTAGCCTAAAATTTTTTGATTTAGAGAAGACGTAACATCTGGTAGGGTTATTGTCTGCCATTTGTAAGCACTCAAAGAACTACTATAACTTGGAATGTGGAGGTACCAGGGAAGGTACTAGATTGTCAAGCATTACCTCACCAAAATGTCTCTTGGAAAACATTTTCTCAAAATCCAAGTTGTATATGAATATGAAGGACTTTCACTGACTCTCCTCAAACAAAATTCCATAAATACAAGAATACTGAATATGGAGAAATGATCTAATTGTTGAGAGTGCCAATTTCCTGTGGCTTCTCTGGATTTTCAGCTTCTGGCATCACAGATCAGTGTGGTGGATATAAAAGTAATTACTATTTTAAGAGTTTACTAACTTGGCAAAGAAAAAGGAAAACAAAAATTCTCACTTGAACAGAGGGCATATACACTTACATGTGCACAATGTAACCTACATGTGAGCTTCTTGTGTAAAACGTACTGCATTGTCTGAAGATGATTGGCTCTTTCAAACTCCATTCATACATTCAAGGAATATTTACTAAGTCTACATGTGTCTGGTACCAGTAATACAAAGACAAACATGGCAGTCCTTGATTTTAAGAAGTTCAAAGTCTAATGAAGCAGGCCCACTCACAAGCAGTTTAAAAGTAGTGTGTAATTATAATATTAGAGATATGCACAACAGAGAGGGGCATCTATATTCTCTTGGCTGAGTCTTACTGAAAGACAGGATGTCTAAATTTAAACTGACACTGTACTAAACACTTTATATATCTATTTTTTTAATCCTCAAATAACTTCTATGAGGTAGAAATTATTCCAATTTCACAAATGATTAAAGTTTACAGAAGTTAAATACTGAGTCTAAAGAAATTAGATGGCATGATCCAAAATGCTGACCCAAGGCCCAATCTCTTAACTACCATGCTCAAAGGATCAGCAGGTGTTAATCAGTCTAAGAGGAAGAGAGGGGGTGGAGAACATTTCAATAGAGGAACTATGAATGAAAGGCAGAGTGATACAGACATGATGTGTGAAAAACCAAACACAGTTCAGAATTGATGGAGTAGTTTGAGGAAGGGAGCTGCTCAAGATGAAAAGTGAAAAGGAAAGAATCAGTCTTACAGCACCTTAAGTGCTATGTTAAGGGGCTTAGAATTCATCCTACAGCACAATGGATGTGATGCCCACCCTTGAAGGTTTCAAGCAGGGTGATACAGCATGATTTAAAAAATGGATTTGAAGACAAAGCTGAAGGCAGAGAGACCTAAGGGACTAGTGTAGTAATCCAAGACAGTGATGACCAGAGTCTGGATAGTATTATCAGGAATAAAAAAAAAGGCCTGAATCTAGAAATTATTATCAGGTTCATATTAAAGTATGTGCTTTAATATGGATTGAAAAGGGACTAGGAGGATAATCTCCAAACTACTAATGGTGATTACCTATGAGAAAAGGAGTGGGGTGAAAGGGTGAATGAAGGGTAACTCTCACATTTGACTATATATGTTTCTATATTCCTGAATACTGCACAGTAAGAATGTACTCATATATTACCCGATTTTAAACACTTCAATTAGATTAAAATTTGGCACTGATATTTTTATTACTCTCCATTTCTTGGATTTATGGTAGTCATATTCAGAGATGGTTTAACTTCTGACTAGATGTGGCAACAATTAAAGTTCTCTTTAAAAAGCTTTTAAAAGAAGACAGTTGGGAATAAAGCCAGGAATGTACTTCAGGTATTTCGGCTCCCAAAACAAAGTTCATTAAGATTTAAATGCTTAATGTATAACTGGAAGTTAAAAAGTAAAATAGCATATTTGAGATAAGAATTCCAAAATGAAATTCTTAAACTATAAAACTATAAAAGCCAAAATTAAAAATATGAACAAATTCATCTAAAAGACATGAATTCACCTAAAAGTCAACTAAAAAGAAAATTAGTGAACTCACAGGTGAGTCAGGAAAAACCTTCCATAATGTAACATGGAGAGAAAAAAAGGATGGAAAATGCAAAAGAAAGGGTAAGAGAGAAGAGGACACAGTATTAATTATAAAGTCTAACATACGTTTATTAGTATTCAGAAGGAGATGAGAAAGAGAATAGAACAAGGACAATGTATGAAAGGGTAATGACCAACAATTTACAAAACCAATTAAAGACAAGCAGAGAACCAAGAACTCCAATAAATTCCAAGCAAGATAAATAAAAAGAAACCCAAAGTGAAAATTGGGATTCAAGATGGTGGTGTGACAAGTAAGACACAGAACTCCTTCCAAAACCACAAATAGTATGAAAATATAGTTAATACAACTAACCCGCAACAGGAAAGAAGGCTGTACCTGCATACAGACCTCACGAACACAGCAGACTTCACAAAACAGGGTAACTTATCAAAGCCTTTATCGGGTGGGACCCGAGCCCTTCCCCCACCCCAGCTCACTGGCAGAAGGAAGAGAAACAGAGCGGGGAGGGGGGTAGAAGCCTGAAACTGATGAACACCCAGCCCTGGAGGTCTGCTTTGCAAGCAGAAACCTACATTGTGTGGTGCTCTGGAGGTAGGGGGGCTGGGACAGGCAGAGTGCTTGAAAGACAGATTCTGGCTGTTTGTGGAAGACGGGATCCACACTGGGCCGCTCTGTGTCAGAGGTAAGGCAGACAGCAGAGGCTGAGAGGCTTTATAGCAGCAAGAGGGCTACTGATGGGGCAGGGTCTGAAATAAGCTTGCTGCGCAGGAGAAGGGATAGGGGGACAAGGTTGTCTGGGTGTACTGTGCCCAGCAGATTGGGAACTTTGAGGAGCTTCAGGCACTCCATCCCCCTGGCGACCTATTCAGCTCCAAGGCCCCCCACTGTGACACACAGTCTGCCGAGCCTTCCTCCTGGCCTGGTGGCACTGGCGTCAAACCAGCCAGAGAGAGGCCCCACCTACAACAGCTAGAGACCAAACCACAGAGGCTTACACCCGGGTGCTCGGCCCACTGGCTCCGATACCAGAGACAGGCATGGCAAACGGGAAACAGGAAACAGATCTTTCCTCCCCCCAGGCACAAGCTCCACTCCCCTATGACCCCCAACCTCTAGGGGCTGAGCAGCTCCAGAGAATAGAGCTTCTGGGCACTAGAGGGCACCACAGAGAAATATGAAACGTCAAAAGAACATAGTTCAGACCAAAATCTCACAAACCCCAGAAAAAGGGCCAGATGAAACTGAACTCACCAATCTTCCTGAAAGAGGAATAATAAAAATCATAAACCTGCTTATGGAGGTACAGAAAAATATTCAACAACTCAGGAATGAATTTAAGACAGATTCACTCATTAAGAAATTCCATATCTTAAATGAAGCATACAATGGAGGGATTTAAAAGCAGATCAGATATAGTAGAAAGACAGTAAATGGAATAGAAATTACAGAAGAGGAATACAAAGAAACTGAGGCATAGAGAGAAAAAAAAATCTCTGAATGAAAAAATATTGAGAGAACTGTGACCAATCCAAAAGGAACAATATTCGCATAATAGGGGTATCAGAAGAAGAATAGAGAGAAAAAGGGATAGAAAGTGTCACGGAGGAGGTAATTGCTGAAAACTTCCCCAATCTGGGGAAGGAGATAATCTCTCAAGCCATGGAGGTACACAGATCTCCCAACACAAGGGACCCAAGGAAGACAACATCAAGACATATAATAATTAAAATGGCAAAGATCAAGGATAAAGAAAGACTTTTAAAAGCAACTAGAGAGAGAAAAATGATCACATACAAAGGAAAACCCATCAGGCTATCATCAGATTTCTCAACAGAAACCTTACAGACCAGAAGGGAGTGGCATGATATATTTAATGCAATGAAGTAGAAGGGCCTTGAACCAAGAATACTCTACCCAGCAATGTTACTTAAATTTGAAGAAGAGATTAAACAATTTTCAGATAAGCAAAACCTCAGGGAATTTACCTCCCACAAACTATCTCTACAGTGCATTTTGGAGGGACTCCTATAGATAG